TTGCTGCTGCTGTGGGCGCAAGGGCTGCAGCGGCTGAGGATTCTACAACGTTGCAGCGGAACCTTTTGGGCGAGGGCTGCTGCTCTTGCTGCTGCTGCTGCTGCTGCTGCTGCTCTGGCTCTTGCTGCTGCTCTTGTTGCTGCTCTGGCTCTCGTTCTTGCACCTGCTTCATCAACTCCAGCTGCTGCCACATATCTTGCTGCTGCTGCTGCTGTTCTTCGTGCTTCGGCTTCTGCTGTTGCTGCTGCTGCTGCACATCCTGCTGCTGCTGCTGTACATTTGCTTCTGTCGAGCCGGCTCCTGCTGCTGCAGTTGTTGCTGCTGCTTCCAACAGTGTGTTTTCTTTTCCACAGTTGCTGATGCTGCTGCTGCAACTGCTGCTACTGCTGCTTCTGCTGCTACTGCTGCTGCTGCTGCTGCTGCTGCTGCGGCGGCGTGTCAGCTTCTTAACAATGAAGTGCTTTCTCACCCAGCTTTTAAAGACAGAACAGTAAAACTGCAGCAGCGGCGGCGCTGCTGCTGCAACCTTCGACAAATGATACTCCTTAGCAGTCCACGTGCTGCTGCTGCTGCTGCTGCTGCTGATGATGAGAGGGGCCGGCACTGCAGCAGCAGCCCAAGAGGGGGAGGCTTCTGCAAGCAGCAGCAAGAAGCCGAAGCAGCAAGCTCGCTGCAGCTGCTGCTGCTGCTGGTCACAAGAAGGCACAGATGAAGACAACAAGAAATAGTTGCAGAGACACTCCACGCACACATTGCTGCTGCTGCTGCTGCTGCTGTCTGCGCTACTGTCAGTTCTGCAGCTGCTGCTGCTGCTGCTGCTGTTGCTGCTGCTTGCACGGCTGTCAGTTGCGCTGCTGCTGCTGATGACGTTGCTGGCACTGTTGTCCGTTGTGTAGCTGCTGCTGCTGCCGCTGCTGCTGTCAGTCATGCTGCTGTAGGTGCTGCTCTCAAAGCTGCTGTTTCTGCTGCTGCAATTACTGCTGCTGCTGCTGTGAATGCTGCTGCTGCTGCTGGTAGTGGCGCTGCTGCTGCTGCCACTACTGTTGTTGCTGTTG